CTAGGAGCTGAGCACGATCAGCCGGTGCAGCTGGTACAGGAAGGTGCTCTTGCCGCAGCCGCCCTCCCGCTCCGCCTGCTCCATGACCAGCTTCGGGTCCACCTGTGGCACAGAGGACACGTCAGGCGCGGCATTGGGCACCGAGGAAAGCAGTGAGGAATAAAACGCACACACGCACACGCACACGCACACGCACATGCACGGGCGTGAAGCAGCGGGAAGGACTGAGCGTTCACAGATCGCCTCTCCCACACTCAGCCCACAGCTGTGTCACGTGTCTTCAAATCCCTCGAATAGCACAGAGCCCTCCCTCGGGCACCCCCCACGCTCCTGTGTGGACGTGACGTGACGTGACAGTGGCTTCACTATAAACATACAAAGCAGCACGTTTCCTAAAACATTGATCAACCTCAAAATGAAGTTCTGCTCTGAGCTTCACCCCCGGGAAACGGCAGGGGGTGGCTGGGCCCCGCCCCAGGTCCCACCCCAGGTCCCGCCCCAGGAGGCTGTCCCAGCAGAGCAGGCTCGGGGTGGCCCTGAGGCCCTGAGACAAAGCGGGTCAAGGGCGCATGGAGCGAAGGCACGCGGCCCTGGAGAGGGGCCTCCGCACTGACTGGCCGAGGGCGAGGGCCTCGTCAGCTGCCTTCACAACACCCGGCTCTAGAGTTACAGCTTAGGCCCCTCCCTGGGCCCTTTTCTCGACACCACATTGTGCCCCGTGCTCCAGCCTTCCAGGGGGAGGCACCCAGGTGCTGAGGCCCTGCCCAGGCCACTATGCTATGGGCTGAGCTGGGCCCCAGGTTCCCTGCTGAGGCCCAGACCCAAATGAGATGAGGCCAGGAGGGGACCAGGGCTGGACGAGGTGGTGCGGGTGGGACACAGCTCGAGGGTGGCTGTGCACAGGCGAGGGCAGGGTCCGCACCGCACCGGCCCCTTCCCAGTCTCCGGCCTCTGAGACGGTGCGAGTGAATGGCTGCTGGCTCACCCGGGAGGTGGCTGTGACGGGGAGCCAGTGTACGGGGACAGCCAGCACCCCGACAGCCCCAGGGCAGGACCGGACCAGGCCGAGTGTCCTGTCCAGAAACGGGGTCTGCGCGGCCTCCATAACCAGCCGCCTGCTCTCGGGCGCCACCACTCACCTGGTTCCACTCGTACGGCTTGTCAGGCCACTTAGGGACCGTTCTCGCCCTCGGTTTCAGCTGACAGAACAAACTACAGGTTAAAAAAGGACGAGTCACCCACTGCGCTTTTCCTAAAGAGTCAACCCTACACCTTCCCGCGGAATCACAACCGCAGTGAGTTTCAAAGGTCAAAGCGCAGTCTGTTATGCCCGGGACACTGCGGCCACGGCACGCAGAGCAGGCTCAGGGCGCGGCAGGCCCCCCGCACAGGCGGCCCGAGCCAGGCTTCATGGCCCGTGCCCACGCCTCTGCCTGAGCATGGTGACCAGCGGGGACGCCCAACAGCACGACTCTGACCGGTGCCGGCCACAGCGGTTCTCCCTGCGCAGAGGTGCCCAGCACACCTTCACAGGCTACCTTACCTGTGACGTGTGAACGTCACACATGTTCATGCAGAAGTGTTTTCATGAGGAGCAGCGAGGACAGAAAACCAGAACCAGCCTCTCCCAGCTGCTCCCAGCGCTACACCACCCAGCACAGTGCCCACAGCTATGACGCCTATCCAACGGGGCACACGCCGCCGGCTCACGCAGCTCAGGGCGCTGTCTTGGGCACGGAGGGATCTGCCACCAGCCCTGGGTCTGGCTGGGTCTGGCCTTGGGGGTCCAGGCAGGGGTGAGAGGGGGGTCAGGATGCTTGTCCCTGACCTCCTTCCTCGGGAGGCTCACAGAGGCCAAGCTCAGCCTGCAGGCCCTGCCCCTAGGGACCCGCTGCCCACTGTGCTTTGAAAGGCTCCCTCAGTTCCATTTTTCTCCAACCACCCACGTGAGGGTGCCCCCTAGCTCCTGCCCGGTCCTACTGACACAGTCACAGGCGGCTGCTCCCCAGTGAGCTGGTGTCCAGGGAGCTGGGACCTCTAGAGGCCGCCTCAGCTCTGGAGCGTCAGTCACCGCGACCAGCCTCTCCTGCCCCAAACTCCTGGGAGGGCCCAGCCCGCTGGAGGCTGGAGGTGAGCGCACCACTCACCCCAGGAGCTTCTGGCGGACGCTGTCCTGCAGCTGCGCGACCCGTTCTGGGCCCAGGTGCCTGGCCCCGTTGGGCCCGTCACACACCAGCTTGTTGATCGCGGCCCTGAGGATGTTGATCTGCAGAGAAAGGGGCGGGAGCACTCAGTGGCCCTGGGGCAGCTGCGCTCCCTCCAGCTCCGGCTCAGC